TTAAAATTATTAAACATTTTATATTACAGAAAGGAAAAGAAAATGTACATATTCTCTGAATTCTTTCCTTCCCTGTCATGTTCACAAGTTCTACCACTTGTCACCAAATGATGGTCGCTTCCCTCCCCTACCACCCCTACCACCTCCTCTACTGCCCCCCTTGCCAAAATCTGGTCGTTTGCCTCCCCGACCCCCCTTACTCCCGAAGTCTGGTCGTCCACCTCTTCCTCTCCCGCCCCTACTGCCAAAACCTGGTCGTCCACCTCTGCTACCACCCCCTCTGCGAAATTCCGGTCGTTCCCCTCCCTTACCGCCCCCTTTGCCGTAGTCGAATCGTCTCACTGCCTTGCCACCTTCTTCGCCATAGTCGAATCGTCTAATTCCTTTCCCAAACCCTCTACCCAAATTTGTGTTTCCTCCTCCCCTACCACCTCTTCCATCAACTCCTGACTGACCCTCGCCCCTATTGTCTGATCTTCCTTCTTGTTCCTCTCTGGCTTTTTCTTCCTCTTCTTCTTTCTTCTTTTTCAGTAACTGTGCACGCATAGTGGCCTTCAAACCAAAGCTCATAAAGATCTGCAATGGAGAGAGAAGCAAATGCACAATATATAACGTACAATAATTAGGGAAATACACAGTAGATAATATTTACACCTATGTTACCTATAGATTACAGGCATATGAAATAAGTGTCTAATTATATGTCACTTACTATCAAATAAACACTAAAATCTCACCTTGGCTCGGTCTAATTTTTGTGGATTTTTCAGGGAGTTAGAGAGAAATTCTTCTGATGCCTTAATATAATCAGGCACTGCATCCATTGCCTTTTCCTGCAACACTTCATTCTCTTTCATCAACTGAATAATCTGTAATAAAATAGTATTGATTAATCATACAAGAGGAGGAGGAGGAGGAGGAGGCAGTGTAACCCATTCACAGCATGATGACGTCTTAACCTGTCATGGCAGACCATTCCTCACACCAGGATGATGTCTTCATATCTTATAAGTGTGATTGTGCCTGCTAAAACTTGTGCACACTAAACAGCTGCATTTGCTGTGGTGATAAAGCCCTTTAAAACTAGACTTACAGCCTCTACTAAGTCTCATTACCTAAGAAATATTTATGCAACAGTTAAAAGCACTTAAAAGTTAAGAGTATCAACACCATAATCTTTGCTTTGTCATCATTAAAGAAAATTAATAGGACAATATAGAACAAAAGCACTGAAGCCAGAGATCTCATAATGGAACAAAAAAAACAACAACCCATACCTTTTGCTGAATATCTTCAACAGCGAGGCAAGTCACCTTGATTTTGTTCATCTTTATGTTTTGTTTTTTCAGGTTTTTAACAAACTTCTTCTCCTCCTTCATCATCAACATTAAGGCTGAGCTATCCGGTGCTCGGCTAACTCTGCCAATGCGCTCACAGTACTCACTAGACAAAAAAAGGAAGTAATCTAATAATATGGACTTTCTTACAGTAATTTTTTTTCCATCTTTTATCTGCAATAAAGATATGCATTAGTATAAAAGTCACTCTATTCTTTCAAATAGGCTGTTGATTTGTACCTGTAGATTAGATTGCCTTTTGTACTGTAAACTGATCATGGAAAAAGCCTAACTGATTCACAACTTACTGATTCAATGATGTCATACGAATACATACCTGACGGTGTTGGGAGGGTCATACTGTATGACTAAATCCACTCTGGAAAAGCAGTGTCCTTTGATGATATTAGTAGTGCACAACATGATCCCAAATTTGGTATTCTTGAACATGAATATACTTTTCTTTTGTTTATATTCATCTTGTGATTCCTGGCCAAGGACAAAGAGAAAACAGGCATTAATGATGAATGGATGAATGTCTATATGATGTGTGCATGCATGTCTGATGTATAATCATGAATGGGGTAATTGCAAAAAAGGGGATTAGAGTTTGGCTGATATATATAACTTGAAAAATTGTTGCAGGAGGACTTAGTATCTTCCATAACTATTATCTACATCATATTCGAGATGGCACTACAAACATTTTTTCTTTAAGAAAAACAAAAAAATCCCAAAATTAGCCTAGGTCAGTACATAGGTGGAAATTGAAGCTTGTTATTATCTTTTTCTTATTCATTTGATTAACAGATATTGCAGTGATATTGTATCATGTCTTTCTACAAATTTATAAAAAATGTGATTGTGCCTATGTGTTCTGCCCCTTACAGCTTAGTTAACCCATTTGCCACTCGCGGCAAGAATAGATGCCATACCCACTTTGATACACGTTTATTTAGTGTATTTACACATAGATGGCTCTACAAGTTCTTAATCACCAAATAGCCAGTTATCAAGAACTACCTATTTCACCTGTTTACCCTTTTCCTTCACTTTAGGAAAGGGTTTTTTGTATCATTTCATTGTCAAAAATATTCTAATGACAATTCAATAATCATAAGATCAATAACAATAATAACAGTATCGAAAGCAATGGTATTGAT